TGAAATACCATTTCCCTCTCGCCTGATCAGACCCCACATGGAAGGTCCCTATAATAGGCTTATGATAAAAAAATTGGGTTATTCCCCACTTCGAGTTTGATCAAACTATCTTTCAGCTTCCCTCATGTCAACAGGAAATCTAACCTCCTCCCTTTTCCTTTGTGTGTGAACCAAGTGAATCCACTGTCCACCGGGTAGAGAGTTTTATAGACATCATGCAAATCTAAGTCCACCATCATGTCTATAAGGGTCAAAACGTCCCTCGAACAATCCTGCAATCCTTGGTTCGAGCCCAGACTAGTATTCTAATCTCCCCTTATCTCTACGTTGTCTACCGCTCTAAGTTTATCAAAGAACATTATGCGGCTTCTCCTATTAACTGGAGCGTATATTGCAACTACCGCCCAAGTGATATCCTCGTATTGGAAGACCATCCACGCCCATCGTCCCCACAAATCCGCATAAGCATTTATAATTTCTGGTCCTAGTTTCCTATGCACGAATATCCCCACTCCCCCCTTCGTTCCCTTCATCGCTGCCCAAATCTATGGGCCATTCCACCATCTTCCTAATGCTTCTTCCTTCTCATTATTTAGCTTTGGTTATTGAAGGTAAGCCACCAATATCCTTTTCTCATGCATCCACGATTTCACCTTTGATCTCTTGTTCCTTCCTTTCATGTCACCCAACCCCTGCAGATTCCATGTGGCTATCCATAGGTTAATCATTTCCTCCTCTCAATCCCCGCTGTGATTGGATGTGGACTGAGGTAGTACCCTGACTATTCCAACCTTTCATCAATGTTGCACGAATAAACGGCGAATCCAACTTTTTCCTTGGGAGGATGGATCTTTAGTTCAGAGATGTCATCTGTCGGGACCATGATCGGCGAGATTTGGAATTGTGCGAGATCTTGTTTTTTTGCTTTTGCAAAAATCATCACCGACACCAATCTCAAGCCCATCGTTTCCAGTTCCGCAAGCCTTCCTTCTGAGACGATTGGAATGTGGAATTTAACTTTACTTTCGGCAGGCCCGAAGATAATCCGCGATATCAAAAAATCTGTAATTACTCTCGTTGGGAACAAATCAAGGTACAACGTTCTCAAACAGTCCTAGACTGTTGCTGTAGTCGACATCTACGATACCGCTTGCCCAAATAACGTTAAGGGGCCATAGTTTCGTTGCCATAGTACTACCCAGTATGCATTCCTTACCATCGTACATGCCAGTGAGACCAGATACCGTGGCATCTCTTGTCCTTGCGCTCGGCTTACTGATGCCAGTCTTCGTTCTCGCGTTGTCTTGTTGCCGGGAGTCACCATCCCGACCTCGTGACTCACCAATTTCTCTGATCCATCCCTCGATAACCGAGACCCCTCCAGTGGTTCTGGGGTGATTTTTGGTTGTGATGTCATGCTTAATCTTCGTTGTTTTCCAGCTCCTCGAATCTTCGATCTCCCTGGTGTATTTGCCCCACTGTGCTCCCTTCGCTCGCTGCCGCCTTCCTTGAACTCGTACTGCCCGAATCCTGCTGGGTGCGTAGAGCTGCCACCGCCTCCCTGTACTGTCAAGGCTCCTTGAGTTGGAATTCCAAAAACTGGATTATTCAAGTGAACGCCACCTGTGCCTGGTTGAGGCAGGTTACCCACTCTGCCTTGACCTCCCAGCCCCGATCTTGCCGGGGACGGTGCACCGTCTCCACCATACTGTACTCTCGCCGCTTCTTGACTTAGCATACCTGAATTTGGATTGCTTGGCTGTCCCCCTACTACTCCTGCTTGATGCCCCCTTTGGTAAGTCCTTGACCCTGGTTTGTTGCCCACCACGACGGGTATATATTATTGGCTACGAGCCATTCCATCAGTGGCCTCCCTTCTGCCCAGAGCCCTAGTTGAGCCCCTTGGATCGATGGAATTCCATATTGCCCTTGATAGTATCCTGGATCAGGTCCTGGGCCAGTTTGCCCGCCACCTTGTCCCGTTGTCGCCGTCCCTCCTGCCGCCATATATATGAAACCGCCGACACCTCGAGGAGAGTAAATTGCGTTCTCTCTGAATGCACCTTGCTGGTTCATTCCTCCTGTTTGACTGGCTGCTCCCGTCTGTGTCGGATCTTTGGGTCTTGGCACCAAGGGACCTTGATAAGCTTGTTGTTGAGATTGGCTAGCTTGCGCAAGTCTTGCTGGACTTGGTATTCCCTGCCCCCTCCCTCTTCCACCTGTTCGGCAGTCTTGTTCCAAGTAAAAGTATTGTTTATAGTTGTTGCAATTTAGTGTCCCTGTTGTTGCAAGTCGAATCTCCAGCATGTCGCCCTTGGATGTCTCTATGCATAACACATCTTTCATGTTGGCTCGTGCTTCGGGTCGAGGTCGAAACGGGCGTTGACCAACGCCGGCCTTGATGGATCGGCATCCATGGGGTGAACCATGATTATCTTCTCTATTGCCTTCTCTATTTGTGCGTAGATAAAAGGCATGTCGTCCCAAGGGACCTGAAGAGCTAGAATCCAAAAGGTGTTTTCATCCTCTTGTCTTCTTAACTAACTCTACTCGAGTCATCCAAGGTTTGAACATAATCTTACATGTCTCTGTCCCTAATAGGATTTCCACTTGTCCTTCCTCAATCATTCACTCCACCATTTCCCTTGCTTTCGCCACGTAGGATGCCACCCCTGGACCCTCGATCTTGAGTCTTCCACGTCTTGAGTTCTCGACAATATTCTCGTTTCCCAATACCCAGCCATCTTCGAATGCCCTGACGAGGTTATCCTTGATATTCTTCGGGAGCGTTCTTGCGGTGTCCATGTGGATCACCGTTACGGTCCTCTCCTTTAACCATTTCACCTTGATCTCGTCCAGTGATGTGTTTAACTTAAATCTCACTTCTCTTCCATCTATGGCCATTTCCCCAGGGTCGATCTCTGCGGGATACACTCCATCGTCAAAACACATTTGTAACAGCCCTCTAATCCTATCTTCATCCTCCCAGTAGTTCCTCTCTTCTTGAGGTGCAAGAGGGGGGGATCTTCCTGTCCCCGCCTGCCCTGGAGTCGCTTCCATACTTCTACTCATCTCCCCAACCTTACTTCACCTGTTCTCCAATCTTCCTCGCTCTGCTTCCTCTACTGTTCTACTGACTTCACTGACACCCACAGTTCCTAACTTGGTGACCCGGATTCGAGGGGGACAGCGCCCCCCCCCCCCCCGGGTTGAATTGTCAGATTGCTACGATTTGCTTCGATGATCTTCTCTCTGGGAAACAAAAAAAAAAAAAGAAAAAAAAAAAGAGCCTCGGACTTGATAGCTGAGCGAGGTACGTGGATGGAATTTTCTTCGAAAATTGATGAAACTTCATTCACAAAAAGTTCTTGCACAATTTGTGGATTGCGCCGTGTGACCATCAAAGTACCAAATCGCCACAGCCTTGTCCCATCCGAAAAGGTACAGCAGTGTGACCCGAACCATGCCCAAAACCTCAAATCCGCCTTTCCCAAATCCGCGTTGGGGTTTGGGGTCGCAGTGTGAGTATGCCCTTATTGCCGGTGTCCCCGAAAACGCGTAGGGAATAGCCGGCCGCGAGTGGGGGCCAAGACAAGTCAAGCAGTGGGGAACCCACGAAAGATTGAAAATGAAAGGAAACCAAGGTCTCGTCATTAGCACAAGTGCACTCTGCACTGGTCTTGGCGCTGCTCAGAAAGGAAGCCAAGGCGCGTTATCAGCACAAATACAGTGTACACTGGGCTTGAAATGACACGAGCTTTCTCTGCTTTTCTCATTCTGGTCAGGGCCCAGAACGGGCGTGCGGAAGTGCAGTCTCCCGCCCCCTCTCTCTCTCTCTCTCTCTCTCTCTCTCTCTTCGTGTGTGTGTCTGTGTCTCTGCGGTTTTCTGCATGAATAGAATAGAATTGCATCCACGAGTCACAAGAATTGAACACGTGACCGCCCACATTGGAGTCGAACACAACCAAGCAGCTGATCTGACGGGGATCAAAGTGAAGCCCCAAGATGAGTACTTAACCCCAGCTCTCTCTCTCTCTCTCTCTGTCTCTCTCTCTGTGTGTGTGTGTGTCTCTGCGGTTTTCTGCATGAATAGAATAGAATTGCATCCACGAGTCACAAGAATTGAACACGTGACCTCCCACATTGGATTCGAACACAA